ATTTATTTAACTACAGTTCCCATGAGCCTCTCCTGCTGCTGCCATGGAAAAAAACTGAAGCTGTATATTCACTTTTTTAACAAATTCAATATCAACAAGAAAGAAAGAGAACGATGAATGTGAACAATGAACGAGAAGCAAGAGAACAATGAATGTGGTGAGAAGCATCATGAAATTGAGGAGTCATTGATGATCATATCTTATGATGATCCCATGATAATCGGCCACTTCCTGTCATTTCTTTCCAATTCCATACGGGTCACTGGTGGCGCTGCCTGCAGTCTCGTCCCCAGACTGCATGGAAGAGACAAGGTTGGTGGTGAGACAGGTGGAAAGGGCACAGCGTGACAGGGACGGCCTGCATATGAAGGTGAGAAGATAAAATCACTTAGTATCAATGAAACATTAGTTTCAAACACAGATAACACACTTTATGATAATATGACTATGATAATCTGGTTATTTATGTTTGTACGGTTTTAGTTTATATAAAGTTTATATATTATTATCTATGTCAGTAGCTGAGATCAAGTTTAATCTCTATAAACAGATTCTATAAGAATTAACTGAATCTGTACACAACAGACGGGAAGCCTCTGCTTTCTATTTCTAGTTTGACCAATCACGTTTGAGCAGGCAGCTCCCTCAGCCAATCAGATCATTTCACTGAAGTCAGAGGTCAAAGGTCAGGAGGTTTTGAGAGAGAAAATCTTACCACGGGCCTTGAGGAAAATTCATGCTGTAAAACATAGAAGAGATTAGATTTAATCCAACTCAAACAGAAAGAACAAATTGTATTTGATTCAAAGACATTAGACTTAATCTGATAGAGATTTGATTTAATTTGATACAATCTGATTAAAAGAAATTAAATTACTCAGTGACAGATTTAATTTGGTGTCGTTCGTGCTGCTCATCAAAGTCCCGTCACTGACGACAGAAATAAAACGAATGGGTCAAGTTAATTTTTTTAGACATCAGTGACGTACTGTTTTCATAATAATTAATCATCATCATCATTATCTATCTATCTATCTATCTATCTATCTATTGTTATTATTATACATTATAATGTCAGACGTGTGAATATAGTCTGAACTGACCTTAAAACGTCCATCGTCTCGTTGAAGTGATCAAACTCAAATCTGCAAACACATTTCAACACAAAGTGACATCATTGTTAACAAAGTGACGACATCACGTGACACGACACAACATAAAGCCAACCACAACGGGTAATAATTAATTCAGTTCAGATTTACCTGCTGTTGTTGAGTGAAGGAGGAAGAGGAGCAGCAGACAACATCATCATTGTCATGACAACCAGAGCAACAGACTTCATCATCTGATGTATCATCATCAGAGAGGGAGAGTGAGCAGCTTCTCAGTCAGAATGAAGGGGACTCGTCCAGAGAAACTGAATTTATAACAAACCTGTTTACACACCAGCGTCAGTCGACCTTCAGCCGGCCTTCTCTCTGTCATCATGAATGATGAGGAGCTGAGGAGATATTTACTGATGACATCATCAGCTGATGCCAGCGGCCCTGACCTCTGATGAGTTTATATTCATCGCTACAGAAATAGCTTCACCCCAAGTCAGATAAGATCATATTTATTTTGTTCTGTTGTACGAGCACAGATTTACATACAGTGATGTCATGTTAT